GCCTGGATCCAGACGTATACAATTGGGACGTTTTAATAATACCATTGATCCAGTTTCACACAAAAAATGGTAGCCTTGGTAGGATCCAAAACTAGCACAGCAGGAGGGAGCCTCTATTGCATTCGACGTTCTACCAACCTGAGATACGTGACCCCAAAGGAACCCATGAAATTACTCATAGTTAAGACAAGTTAGCCGAACAGCCTACTGCAACCTATGGAATCCACAAAATCTGATGCAGTGAGCTGACTGACCAACCACGATTTCCTAAGGAATCAATCTAAAATCCACCAGATGCTTATCAGACACAGTAATTTAATGTAGGTTTTAGACCACCGTTACATAAATAATCCCAAATTATTTGATTTCTGCTGTAGGTATGGAAATAAATTTTATATTGTGCGTGTTATATACCAAATCTAGCCTAATTCATTTCATTTATTGTCCTGAGCTTTCGAACTCTCTTCAAAGAAACGCGTCTTTTGGCAAAATGAGTAAATGTATTCAGTAAATTTTCGACATTGGACCCCCAGGTCGCCGCCAGAATTGAGAAAAATGTACAAAGAACAGTTACTCTTCGCTTGCCATTCTCACGGTTGGTTTGGCTTTGTCAGGTCGAGATGCTTGTTGTCAGATGACAACTGACACGAATCTCGACCTGCCCGCAGCCTACAAAGTCTTGCGTCATTATAGGGAAAAACGAAAAAACAAAGCCAAACCGGACGTGAAAATGGCAAGCGAAGAGGACACCACAACGAACCAGCCGGAAGATGAGACAGGGTTGCCAGGACCCTCTACCGGGTGACAAGGCGCCGCACTAATTGCTGTTCATGAACCCTTGCTCCAATGACAGCTAATTAGCGTACATCACTATAATTGTCCCACGATTCTACTGACAGCTAATTGTCCTCCTCCCCCATCATTTTCGATTGCCTTTTTTAACACCTCGACAACCTGATGATTTCTGATAGTTGATTGGCCTATGGCCACTATAATTGCATTCATTTCATTTGTGATATATTTCTTGATGATAAAATCGAACCTTTTTAACCATCAATTCCAAGATCATCTTACCACACATTCGAAGTCCTAATTACAACAAATTTATTAATATGAACTCTGGGTCTTTCCTCTGCTCTTTTAAAGGTTGAAAAATTCACAGTCCTTCGTCAAAGCCTTCACGGTTGACGCGTCATACCTCCAACACGCTAAACTCGGGAAGATGCCTGATTTTAGGGTTCGCTCCTTTTCTATATCTTCAGTTAACTTACGTTATATTTTTAGAACTGGCACGTTCCGTTTGGACGTCGGTTTAGGTCCCTCAAGATATGGTTCGTTCTCAGAGCATACGGGGTCAGTGGCCTTCAGAAATATATCAGAAACGTAATACACTTTCCTATTTATTATATTATACCCAACGCCTTCAGCACGTCAAGATGGCCCACTACTTGGAACGTTTAATTGTTAACGACGGCCGGTTTGAGATTGTGGGGGAAGTCACGCTCGGGTTGGTCTGTTTTCGCATAAAGGTAACGCGGTTCAGTAAATAAATGTTACTAAAATGAAAATAAGTAAACATTTTTATGACCTTTTTATTTTTCTGACTTCAGAACGACAATACGCGTACACGGGCGCTATACGAAATGATCGAGGCTGATGGTCGCTTGCATCTGGTGCCCTCACACATTCAGCATCCAGCTGACATCTTCTTTATTCGGGTCGCCATCTGCTATCAGTTTGTGGATGAAGAACTGACCCGAACATCCTTCAATGTCATCTCTGAGCTAACCACCAAAATCTGTCAGGCAGATGGAACGCCACCGGCCACATGCAGATGATGCTTTCTTTTTCGGGAGGCGAACTACATGACAAACGCTTTTCGATCAAACATGTGCTACAGGATGAAACTGAAACCGTTCGAAGACACTACGAATGTTCTGTTGTAAAGAGTCTAAAAACCCCTGCCTTTTGTGCCAGCATTTCACTGATTATTTTTCACACACTAAGGAAATGTCTCCATTTCTGCCTACTGTGTCAACATTTTAAGCATGTAAACGTCCATGTCTGTAGAAATATTTGGTTTTCTTTCTTTGTAAAATCGGTGGTTGCGCAACCGTTTTCATCGCTTACTTATCTAATAAACGGACTTCATTCACCCGAAACTTAATTTATCTTAGTTAAACCGCCTATAAAGGCATCCTGATGCTAACTGCTCCGAGCACAGGCAGTGTTCATCGTGATGAGACATTTTCGGGATTCATTTAAGCGGTATTGAATTTAACTGTAAATACCAACTAAAAAGGGCAGGTCGTGCACTTATGAAAGGCATGAGATCTACCGCAATATATAATGGACCTCAAGCACAGATGACTTAAATAATGCAGTACCGTGATGGATATTTGAGTGAGTAAGGTAGCGTAAATTTCAAACCAGAAACCGCTACCGCTCTTTCGCTATGTCACTGATGACGAATCCGCGACGGATCTCGAAACGTCAGGCGAATAAAAGTATTGTCCCAGCGATCGATTTGTCTTCTTCTCAACTACTTCCTGGGACCCGCATGTTCGCTTGTATTGGCAACAAAATAGTCTGTTCTCTAAACATACATAATAAAAAGGTTTCCGTTTTTCATTAGTGTTCTTTTATTGTACAACACTCAAAAGGAAGTTCCTTCCACAGCATTTATTAGCGTAAGAAATTCCATAGATAATAACAACAGTCCCCAGTATACTGAGCTGAACCGAATTCTTTGCTAGTTAACAGCATTTCGCACCTCAAGTCAACTCAATGAACAAAATAAACAGCCTAAAATCTGTGTTAAATCACCCACTCAAATTCATCAGACATAAAATG